CTTAAAATACAAAATTTAATTTAAAAAAGCAGTTATTTCACATTTTCTTTGTTACGAAGCTAACCAGAAAACAAAACAAACAAACAAAAAAGAAAACTTCTAAGACAGTTATTATTATTTATGACCACACAAAAGGGAGCTGTTTCTCAGAGGTTGCTGAACCTCTTTGTTAATACAGAGGGCGGCTCTCTGCTCCACACAGAGGGCTGTGGTAGCTCGGTGGCTGCGTCAGGACGGGCATCCGGCGTAAAATCAATCGCCAAGTCTTCCAGTGAGTTAATTTGCTGTGGCGACCCCTGAAGAAGGGAGCAGAAGAAAGAAGAAAGGTAATACACCCCCAGTTCCACCTACAGAACCTGACCTTCGTGCACATCCATGTAGAATTCGTTTTGATAAGATGGTTGTTGGTCTCTCGCTTATTTTTCAAGTTCTCCAGCTCACAAGACGAATGGACATTCAAGGGAAAAGCCGTCTTGGGTTTTGATCTGGCAACCCAGTGCAGCCACACATTAAAATGAACAATGGTTCCTTACTTATTTTTCAAGTTATCATTCTCACAAGATGGACAGACGTCACAGACATCTTTGGTCATGAACCAGAACCAGAACGGTGCAACGCCGGACTGCAGAGGAACCAGGTGAACGAGTTTAGGAAGGCTGGAGTAAATGAGGTTAGTGGAGACAGGTGAGACCAATTATCATAAGGGAACAGGTGTGTGTGGGAGGGGCAAGACTGTGGAGCAGAGGAGGAGAAATAAACTGGTGGCACAGGAAACACAAAGAACACAAACATAACTAGAAGGGGAACTAAGCAGTCACTGGCCAAAAGGATGGACCAGCACAGAAAAGGAACATCTCCAGGCCAGAGGTCACTCGTTCAGGGATGAAGGTGACTGAGCTGGATAGAGAGGAACGATGGTTTGAGAGAGGAGTGAAGGAGGTCATCTTTGTGAAAAGAAACCGTCCATCATTAAACAGGGGTGGAGCCTCCAGGTTCAACTGTCCCCCTCTTACAATGCTGTGATTGCTAGTATCACTCAGCCCTCTGTGAACAGTAAACAGCCATCAGGTGCTAATGATCCATTGTTAGGCTGATGGTCCTTCTTGATCATGTGAGCAGCTGGTTTTGGTTGTCAGCAGCAAACTGGTTAATCCACTCTGAAAAGGTGTTATTTATAAGACTGAGTCTGTTGCAGCTCCTCAGACTGAAGAAGTCCTCTGGATTAAACATCTCAACAAATTATTGTTATATATAGTTTTTTAAATCTGTCCAGATGACCTGACTTAACTTTGCTAGATTTTTCTACCTGGATTATTGGGCATGCATCTGTATAACAAAAAAAAAAAAAAACTCTAAAATATAACCCTAAAAATTATAAACAAAAAAATCTAACAAACAAAAAACACATCCTGATGGATGGATGACCCTTAACTGGCCAAGTCACCAGCCTCATGTCAAACAAACTGTGTTGCCATGTCTACAGACCAGTAAGTGTTAAACACTGGAGGCCGGAGAGAACACCACCACACTGACATCATCCATTATGCTTTCTGTACTGGGAACTAGCAACAAATTTAGCTCAGTGGATTTCTGTTTCATAACTTTTAAATTACTTTCTTCAAGCTACTTTTAATTTATTAAAAGCTGCATGTCCCACACAGTCCTGAACAAAAAGTTAGCTTTGCTAATGCTAAACCGCTAAACATGTTAGGCTTCAGGCTGCGGTTTAATTTTGTTTAAGCGTATATCTTAGATCCTTGTATACTGTTTCTTTTTTTATAGTTTATATTATTGCTATTTTGGGGCAGCACGGTGGTGCAACTGGTGGAGCTGCTGCCTCTCAGCGAGCAGGTCCTTGGTTCAAACCCCGGTCCAGGGGCCTTTCTGGGTGGTGTTTGCATGTTCTCTCCGTGCATGCGTGGGTTTTCTCCGGGTGCTCCGGTTTCCTCCCACAGACCAAAAACATGCATGTTAGACTGATTGGTAACTCTAAACTGTCCCTAGGTGTGAGTGAGAGAGTGAATGGTTGTTTGTCTCGTTTGTCTCTATGTGTCCCTGTGATGGACTTGCGACCCGTCCAGGGTGTCCCCCGCCCCTCGCACAGTGATTGCTGGACATGAGCACCAGCGACCCCCGTGACCCGAAATGGAATAAGCGGGTAAAGATAATGGATGGATGGATATTGCTATTTTGGGTGTAACTGGGACCTTGAGTACACAATTCTGTTCCACCTCATCTATATATTTATTTTTGTACCACGTGATGCGAATGATAAAGAATCTTGAACCTTGATGTGAAGAAAAATTGTGGAAACTGACGCTAACTGCTAAACGACTGCCACAGTCTGCATCACACATCTGCACAGTCTTTGTCTCTTTCCAGCTGAAGCTGCATCGACCAGTCATGTTTCGTCACGTGTACACGTAATCAGCCAATAGCATGCCAGAACGGACACTTCTAGATACGCCCACAACAGGCAGGAACAAGCTCTTTGAATTTTGTTAGAGGGCTTAAACTTTGTGAAAACTAATTTAGTGAAAGCTAATTCCGCTTTTGGTTTCCAAAGTTAGTGATAACACTAACCTGCTAAACTAAAAATTATTTTCACTGTTAGCGGATTAGCAGAACTGTGCCCATCACTTCAATTATACAAAAAACCAAACCCTTCTTTTTCTAAAGTTATTGCACAAAAAAAATTGTACAAAATAGTTATTCGGTGTGTTCTAGTTGTTCTTTTTCATTATTTACTTATTTACATTACTTTTGAAAAAATAAATAACTTGAATAAATAATCCCTTAAAATGTGGAAAATCCACTATTTTGAACACAGTGAAACTAATCAAGTTGGCTTTACTTTCTATTTTACCTTTTGCTGCATGTCAAACACAATAAGAAACCTTTTATGTATTTATTTTTGCAAAACATTTTTTATTTTATGTGTTTTACAGAGAGTTTAAAAGTGATTCATTGTCTCAGCTCTTGCTGACCTACCATGAAAAAACCAATGTCTCATGTTGTCCACACACACTCCACACACACAGGCCTCCCAGTGGTGGTGGAGGTGAGGATTTGTTAAAGTGTGTGTATTCATTACAAAGCTGTGTGTAAACTGCACCATTTGCAGCCAGCTATAAACATTTTACATATTTGTTTTAGGTCAAGTTAAAAAAATAGTGTTAACAAAATAAACGAACCTCTTGAAATCAAAATCTATTAAAACGCCATAATTGTATTGAGTTCCTTTTGATGATCTTCTGTTTTCCATCTGCTCTGCATTTGTTCCTGAGTCTGCACTGCCATCTGCTGCTCCCTTACAGAAATCACATCATCCTCAGAGGCCATGGAAGGGTCACGTGATGCATTCAAGTCCTCATTACCCAGTCGTGTTTATTTTAAGCTTTCATATTAAAATTATTAAACTTGAATTTTGTTGCTTAGCTTTTTAATTATTATTATTTGTGTGTTTTAACAAAATTCTGTAGGAAAAAAAAAATCTACCTACAGTACAACTGCATTAATATTCATCATATTTACATCTGTGCATGTACAGGTACACCAAATTAGAATATTGTGAAAAAAGTTCAGTACTTTTTTTTAATCAGTCACTGCAGAAAGTGAAACTCATGTAGAAATTTATTGCACAGAGTGAAATATTGCAAACATTTATTTCTGGTAATTTTAATGATTATAAATTACAAATAATGAAATCTCAAAACTGACTGTCTCAGAACATTAAAATATTGTGATAATGTTCCATATAGGAAACGTGTGAACATTATGCACAGGTGAATCCTGGACATGGGCACAAATGCCACATTCCTCAAGTCAAGCCACTCCTGGACCAGAGCCGACATCAGTAGCATCTTACCTGGACTGTGGACTTCACAAAACCCAGTGGACCAGCACCAGCAGAGGACATGGACCCAAACCATCACCGACTGTGGAAACTTCACTCTGGACTTCAGCAACGTGGATTCAGGACCTCTCCTCTTCCTCCAGACTCTGGTACCTTGATTTATGAATCTTTCATGTGAAAAAAGGACAGTCCAGGTCTTTGTCTCCTCAGCAGGTAAGATGCTTCTGATGTCGTCTCTGGTTCAGGAGTGACTGGACGTGAGGAGTGAGACATTTGTAGCTCATGTCCAGGATTCATCAACTGATCAGGCTGTGACACCAGGAGTTTACAATGTTGAACCTCTTCACAATGTCCTCATTTTCTGAGACACTGAATTTAGTTGGTTTTTCTCATTATTTATACGTCATAACCATCAAAAATACAATAAATATTTCACTCTGTGTAATAAATCTATATACGAGTTTCACTTTCTGAAATGATTGACAAAAAAAATGTAACTTTTTCACGATATTCTAAGTTTTTGAGATGCACCTGCAAATCTGAGCTTCACAACCCCACCTTTATTTCAGACACACATTGTCCATACTAGTAAACAAAAACAGGCACAAAAAAAAGATAACACCAACAAAACACAATAAAAATAAATATATAAGGTGGAGTGTGAGCAAGGAAGAATGGAGGCCTTTTATTCATATACAGTATATATATTTAAAAAAACTTTGTTAACTTTGTTTAAATTTACAATTAAAGTGAAAGTGTTTACATTTGATTAAAATACATTTTGGAAAAAATGCTCGAGGTCAGTTTAAAGATTTCACTCTTCGACTGTGGGTAATAAAGCTCCGATCAACGTAAAGCGACAGCAGCTGCCAAGTGATGTTCTTTCATGTGGTGTGGGAACAATAAAGGGTTTAGAGAGAAGCAGCAAGGGCTTCTACAGAAAAAATAAACTAAAATGAAGGCAGAGTGGCTCGCTGCGTCCTCCTTTGGGATTTGAAGCCTATATTTCCAACAGCACTTGAATGCAGCAACGTAATCTGTTCTAATCTGGGCTGGAACGTCATCACATGAGAGATGACATCTGAGGATACTAGGCTTTTTGTTCTGGGGAAATTAACAGACTTTTATTATTTTCTGAGACAAGATGACTATTACAGCCTGCCAGAAGGTTACGCTGATATCGTGCTCTGTTCTCTGCGTTTCTCTCTTCCTGCCCAGGATGCTGTGGCCCCGAGGGAAGACGGAGGAAGGCCAGCCTGAGGGTAAGGTGGCTTATCAGGTCATCATCTATCCATCTCCATCCTCACAGTCTCTTTCTGTTGCAGCAGCTGTTGTTGCTGTGAGCTGCTGTTCAATAACCCGCCACACATGCACTGACATGAGTGAAGCTGATTAATCTGAATCATGAACAGAACTCAGTGTTGAGCTCTGATTTATTATATTTAGTTTTTACTTCTCATTTCAAGCATTGAACAGGGTTAGGCTGCTGTTTGCTTGCTTGAATCTAAAACTGAATGACAGGTTTGTAGATTTAATCTCTAATTTTAAACATTAAATCTCCTTGAAACTACTAATTCAGCAAGGATAACGTTAATGTTGTGGTTTTATGTAAACAAGAAACATTCATAAGGAATGAGCTATAAGTCCAGTCATCATAAGAGCTAAGGCAAATTACAAATGTGAGAAATTGATTTTGCTTTACTTAAAGGAAAACTGAGCTCCTCTGTGATGAGGTTTAATCACAGACTTGAGCAAAGTAAAAATAAAGGTTGAAATTTTATTTATGAGAACAAGCAAAAAGCTGATCACCATCCTCTACTTATCAGCATCATAAATAATATTCAATGGCATTGGAGCAACTGTAGAAAAGCTTTTTAACTCTGTGTTCTTGTTTTTGTTTGTTTGTTTGTTTTTGATATGGATCATATATTGTGTTTGACATAAAGTAAACGATGGTGATGAATACCAACGACTAAGTTTGACAAGATTTTTAATGATCATAATCGAAACCATTAAATTAACCAGTTCTGGGATGAGTGAGTTTTTCCTCAGTGATTTCATTCCTGCAGATCAGGATATTTTTCTCATCTTAGTTCTGTGAGTAAATCTGATAAAGAGATAATAATATTAACAATAATAATAATAATAATAATAATAATAATAATAATAATAATAATTAGATAACTGAATGGGTTGGAGGATTTTCTTCACAGGGAACAATAAAGAATAAAATGTCAAATTGGGCTCTGGAAACTTTCTTGGAAATTTTACATAATTATGACTTTGTACATTTTTGAGAACGATTTCCAAATAACTCAAGATCAGAAAGTAACTGCAACAACCATGTTTGATAAGTAGCATAATTTATTTTAAAGATTCATTTATTGATTTTTGTCTCTTCCAGTTGGGCCCGGCTTCTCCCCTTCAGTAACCAATCGGATCTCAGCACCAGCTGACCCGGAGCAGTGGGATGTGGATCTGTCTCCTTCCCTCACTCACACAGTCGAGGTCATGGTGAAAGTGAAAAGCATGGAACGAGGCAGAAAATACAACCTCGTGGCTAAAGTGATCCCCGTCTATGGCTTTGGGATCTTGCTTTACATCCTTTATATTATCCATAAGGTAAAAACTGTGACGGCGGCAGACAAAATGAAACTTTGTTTTGAGTGCATAAAGTTTTTCAGCCTAATGTTGAATTAAATGAATCGCTTGAATTCATTTGAGATCTTTATGTTCCCAGCTGTCATTTAAGGAGAAGATGAATAAATCAGGAATCTACTCTGTGGTCAAAATGACCAACGTGCCGAATACGACCAGTGAGTATCTTCAACTGACACGAACATGCATGTGTAATGTGTTTTTTTATTATTAATTTATTTATTTTTGAACTTTTTAGGTTCTGATAATGAGCTCGCCAGGCTTCATCAGAGACTCGTGCGGGCAGAGATGATGATGGAGAGGATCATCTCCGAGAAAGGCCCCTGCTCTTCCAGGTCAGGAATATTTGTATCTTTTTCTTGTGTTTGTAAAGTTCATTTATTTTACAGCTTTACTTCACATTTCACTGAAAGCAAATTTAAATCAAATTTAAAAATACATAAGAAAGCTACTGGAAAACATTAGAAAACACGGCGCAAAGTTCCCTTTTGTCAAAGCGCTTTTGTTTTATTAAATATTACATTTGACCATTTTTATGTTGTGCACAATGCTTTTAAACAACAAAGCCAGTTTATAACCAAAGTTTTTAAATTATGTTTATTTTCCATTTTCACATCAATTTCAAAACACATTTATTAGTTATTTTTGTCACAATTATGTTTAGGCAAAAACCATCAGATTTATTAGATTTGCCCCACTCACCCAGCACACACACTTTTTGCCCCACTCCCCTCAGGAAGGAGGTTGAGGAGCATCAAGTGTAGAACCACTAGACTGAGGAACATCTTCTACCCTGAGGCTGTTAGACTCATAAATCTCTAACCAGGATCATCACTGCAATTCCACTTTAATTGGTGATATGTGACTTATCCATGCTGCTGATCTCATGCTGCTGATCTCATGCTGCTGTATTCATTCATACCCATCTGCTCACCACAGACTCATGTTCAGGCTGCTGTTTAATACACTGTATTATTTTACATTATTAGCGTTTAGTGTATATCTTAGATCTTCTAATGTATCGTTTAGCGTTCGTTTAACACATATCTTAGATCCTTATGTACTGTTCCTTTCTATACTTTATATTTTTGATATGTTTGGGTGTAACTGGGACCCTGTGTACAGTTTTGTTCCACCTCATGTGCCACATGTGATGTAAATGACAAGAATCTTGAACTTGAAGTTTGAGGAAAAATCATGTTTAGAGAAGTAACATTGTTTTGTCTTCAAATAAATAAATGTAATTTCTCTTGTTAGAAAAACTGACGAGTTCATTCCCTGATTGTATTTTAGCAATAAAACTACTAAGATTAGACGTAAGACGTAAATCAAGTCATCTTTAATATGCCTCTCGTAAAGAATATATGATGATGTATGAAATTCATTAAACATAATTAAAAGTTAGTGCAGTATTCCCACTGGGGAAGAAGTATGTTTCTGTGTATTTGTTTTAAAATCAATTAGAAGTAAGACTTATGACACCCACTGGGTTAAATTGTTTTTTATTAACTAAGCTTGGTATTGTATTTATACAAATATGAAATTAATTACACTGAAAAGTGGGAAATCAAGAAGAAACTCCAGAATATTTAATATTTAAATGTAGAGTCCCAGAGTTCAGTAACCTGGCTGAAGTTGATGTAGGAAACGTGTCAGTTCTGACTCGGCTCCATGTCTGCGCTGCTCTTTGGTTGTAGAAGGAGGAAGACTAAAAGCTCGACATCAAAGAAGGAAGAGAAACTCCTGAGGCAGCTCCGACAGATCTCGCTGCTGATGCAGGAGGGCCGGTTGGAGGGAGCCTCCCCGGAGATGGAGGCTGAGGAGGTCCCTTATGGTGCAGACTGGGAAGGTACGTGCCTCTTCAAATGCTTCTCGTGAGACATGAAGCACGTTATCGAAGCAGGTTCGTCTCCAGCGAGTTGGAACACCTTTTTGATGAAGTGAAGCTTCTTCTGTGTTCCAACGCAGGCTACCCAGCGGAGACGTACCCACAATATGAGCCCAGTTACAGACACGGGTTTGAGAAGTTTAGACTGGAGGAACCCCCCAGTCAGCCCACTGCTGAGGCGCTAGCAGAGAGGATGGAACAGGAAGAGGAAGAGATCATGGCAAGGAAGCTGTCCATAGTGCAGGAGGAAGACGAGGAGGAAGAGGACAGAGAGGAAAAAGATTTAAATGAGGAGGAAGAGGAACTGGATGAAGGAGAAGAAGAAATGGAGGGTGTAGAGGAAGGCATCAAAGAGGAGGAGGAGGAGGAGGAAGAGGAGGAGGAGGAAGAGGAGAAAAAGCAGTTGCTCAGTCCTGCTCCGTCTGCAGTTGAGAGCAAACAGAAGAGAGTTGGTTTAGAGGTGAGCAGAGAGCTGCAGCAGCGCACTGCAGAGAAGAAGCAAATCAGCTTCAGTGACCACAAACGTGTCTTCCACTACCCCAAAGAGGAAACATTTGAGGAGGAAGAGGAGAGGGAAGGCGAGGCAGAAGATGATGATGAAGGGACACAGGTGGAGGAAGACGCTGATGACGATGATGATCCACTGACAGAGGCAGAGAGCCTGCAGTTCAGCTGTGAAGGTTCCTCAAACCCAGAGGAAGATGCAGAGGAGGAGACAGAAGAGTATTTGCTAACGCTAGCTCCAGAGGAGGAAGAAGGTCGTCTCCAAGAAGACAAAACTGATGGACAGAGCGGGCTGAGGATGCGAAGCAGGAGAGGAACATAAAGAACGTTTCTGTGTTTAATGCAAGTTTTATTAGTGAAGTCAGTCTTCCAGTGTTCATCTCCGAGCGTCTCTCATTTGTTGAAAAGTCTGATAAAAAGTGGTATTGATCCTATTAATATTGTTAATTGTTAATAATATTGTTAATCTTGTTCATTTGTCTTTTAAGAGCTACATTTGATGTAGAGATAAATCCAAATAAAGCAGATATTTTGTGCTTACAGTTTGCTGTAAAAACACATTTTCACGGGTGAAACAACAATCTGCATGTGTCGTGCATAACAAGAAGAAACTTGCACCAGAACAAGTCAGAATATTTACAGACTTGTTGTGAACATGTCCTCAGTGAGAATACAGTTTAAAAAGTTGTAGCTGCAGGAGATGCAACGCTCAAGTTAGCATTCACAAGTCCTGAATATGATGGGAAGTGTGAGGCTGTATTTTTTTTTTTTTTTTAGAATCTTGTTCTGTTCTGCTGGGAAAACATGCTAACATTTATTTAAAAATACTCTAAAGACCTCGCCCCACAACTTTATAGATCCTAAAGTCAGAACATTGACACCAAACACTCTTTTTTGATGACAATAAGCCAGCGACAGGACATAGTTTTAACCCCCTCCTGGCTCCACCTAGAGGAACAGTTAACAGTAGTCCCTCGATTATCGCAATAGTCTAAGTGAAAAACCACAAAGTAGGAACACTATATTTCATTTAGTATTTGTCTTTTTTAATTTAACGCTCAAGTTAAATTGACAGATGTCAGAGTTGAAACAACAAACCAAAACAGTTCAATCAGCTAATAAATTGAAATCAACTAAACTAAAGAAAAATTTTATTTAGCAAGAGTTTATTAATCAGGATTGATAATGTTTATTTAAAATTTGAAGTTGACTGAGTGTGTACAGCTGCTCGGTTCCTTACCTTGCAGCGACGAAGCCCACAATGTTCGAAACTCTTCACCCTAAAGTAATTTTAATAACATAAGTTCACAGTACGTCCTGCACAGCAGCTACAGCAACATTTCATGCACGTACTCACCAGCTCTGGAGAAGCTCGGTTCTGTTCAGGCTCGGTTCTGTTCAGCTACCCTGCAGCATGACGAAGCCCATCGCCCCATCCAGGTTGATGTGCATGTGCTGCCGCTCCAGGAAGTACACTCCATGTGCAAGGCTGCCCAGGATTTAGTCCAACACCTCGGCCCAGTCCAGACCTGCACCATGTGACCAGAACCAGGCCGAACCCAGCTGCTGTCCGTTCCCTGCAGCTCCCAGGACCCGGGTCACACTGAGTCCAGATCAGCTGCAGCCCAGCTGCTCCACAGTGAAGATACAACTTGAAGGATGAGTTCAGCTTCACGATTATTTGAGACTTTCCTGCCAGTGCTGTGAACTGATCCTGACAGAACTTCTGATGTTGCTGCAAAACTTTCTCTCCATTTGCAGCAAGCAGCGGTTGGAAGCAGTGTTGACTTCTGGGAAGTGAACTGACTTCTGGGTAACGTAGTTCTTTAGACTGGTATAACAATGTGGGCTTAAGCCATATTTGCACGTGATTAGTTTTACCTTGGGACCGCATGTAATAAATAAATTACTCCACAACGTCAGCTTTTTATGTGGCGCATTAGCACGGGCTATCTAAAGCCTGAGATTTAGCTGAAATTTACAGACATCTTCCAGCTATGATGTTAACGCGATGCGTATTGCGTAGCATCCGTTTGTAATGTAACGTCCTCCTTCTCTTTAGCCTTTTCTTTTTTTGTCGACCATTACGGGTCAATACGCTTTTGCTGGTCCGGGACACAAAAGGTTATTTATGCACTCTAAATAAAAATGCACTCCGGAAACAAAAAACGCCTAATTATATATCAGATCCTGCCCATGTCTGTCCAAATCACAGAGATGCCTATTCCCATTGGATTAGTATTATCACAGGATCTCGGAGTTCAGCAAGTAGGTAATTTGCGGAGTAATTTTTACTTGACAAATTACTGACATTGCTGATTCGCACGGGATTAACAACACAGACAATCTCCATAATTATTACAAATTGCTTGTGGTCCCTAGGTAAACCTAATCCCATGTGAATAGGGCTTTATTGAAAGAAAACTACAAAATGGCAGCATATTTGTTGTTGTTGTGTGCAATCTTACAGTACTGTACTTTGAAAAACTGCAAAAGAACAAGTCTGCGAAAGTTGAACTGCCAAGTAGCGAGGGACTGTATGTTGAGTTCTCTCTTGCTATTGATGAAACAAACACATTTATTGTCACATTTATTTTGTCAGCTGGTTTTAAAAGAAAAAATTATTATTATTATTATTATTAAAATGTATTAAATTCTATTAAACAGAGCAAACATCCATGATATGGTTGCAACAGTGATGCAACGAATTGTAAAAACATTTGCAGAATATTTTTTTAAACAAAATTAGCCTAAACTAGCCACAGTTTGGGTTTCACCCGGGATGAAACTGAAATGGAATTAGAGCCTGACCGATGTGGAAATTATTGCTATTGCTGATACTGATAGTGGGGAAGGTTGATACCGATACCTTGGCTGAAATTACTTAGATTATTGGGGCTGGACAAAGATAAAATAAACACTTAAGCCTGTTTTAACTCTTGAAGTCTTGAAACAGTCTTCCTAGTGCACATTCACATTTTCTATCCTCCACTATTCACCATAGAATTTATCAAGTGTGTTACATAAATATAAATTAAACAAAGAAACATCCTTTGCTGTTCATTGTTTGAACAGTCAGTCACGTACGGTGAAGGTCTAATTAGTACAGTCTGCAGCAGAGGTTTTTCTTTTTTAGAGAAGTAAAGATTTCAGACAAACAACGCAGTTCATTGAGGACAACAAAGATAACGTTACTAACACTGATATATTTTACCTTTACTTTAGATTTATTGTTCTGGATAAAGATTTACAAGGCAGTAGCCTATGCTAGGCTATCTAAACATTAACTTGCTAACTTGAGAGGCATGTAGCTAATAACAAGTGGGTTGGAGGATTGAAGATAATTTATTATTGTTGACTTTTTATTTTACAGATCAGTTAAAATAATCTTACCATGCTCTGGTAA